TATATATGTATATATATATGAATGTTTCTGTTCAGTGCCCTGACTTTTGTTGTGACTTGGCGCTATATAAATAAACTGAAATGAATTTAATGCTACTCAAATTAAGTTTACATATTAATATTAATAACGAATCAAAAATGGTGTTTGATATTTATCACCGTATTCTGCTTATAATTTTAGCTACACTTTACTAAATTTGGTTTTGGTGCCAAAAACTGCTATAAAATTCATTATAAAAAGAAAAGGTGCTATAAAATTTATATCAACCTGTAGTTTTGTGCAGTGGTTTGAAATCGCTGCTAGTGTCTTTTTGTTTAAATCAATCAATGGTTCTTTTGGTCTTTCTGTCAGTTTTTCAAAGTTTGTTTTGGGGATTTGCAGAGGTGCCATCAAGCGGTGGTTGCGTGAGACCATCTACAACAGATTAACTTTTGAAATCAGTCTTGTTCAAGATGGCCGCTACAGCTGATCAAACTTAATTAACACAAAACAGTCTATGCTGGAGCTCAGCCACTGAGATAAAAATTGGTGTGGTAGTAGCTGAGAATCACCCAATACATATATTGTAAGAGCTACTAGCTCACGTGAGATCTTTGTTTAAAACTGGCAGCTGGTGATCAGGATATGCTAGTTTCTACTACAAATATGATTTTATTTATGATTCTCAGTTATTAATGTCAACTGTAAAGTAAAAACGGAAGTACAGAAGGTTCATATCTGAAAATAATTCCCAAATTTTCACATTGCAGTGTTTGTTTGTTTTTTAAATATCCTGTATATGACAACAGCATATTAAAACTGAATTTACGTAATAGCTTCCGGTTTTACTATGCCAGCTCAGGATTAGCAGTGACACCCCCCAGGACAGTTCTTTGCAACTGTGAATTTGGCTGCTTCCTCACTCATTTTCAGTCCTTTTGATGATCTACTGATGACAAATTTTCAGCTTTGAGCTCTTTGGAAATGACCTTAAATGTTGTGCAATATGATTTTATGTCTGCAACCTGCGGCTCTGGAGCCACATGTGGCTCTTTGGTCCCTCTGCAGAGGCTCTTTCAAGCTTTGACCAAAACTGAAGTAAAACTGAATTTAATTGGTTGTTATAACAACAACTAAAAGGGCTGGTTTTAGCTGTTTTCCTGTAATTTATTTTGCAAATATATGAATACTAGAAACATTACAAGGAGTTAAACATACTCACTTTCACTTTATGCTTTATTTCTTCAAAGTAGGAGATGTAATGTTTCTATAATTCAAAGAAATCACATAAGAATGCATAGTTTATTGTTTTCGTTTTTAGAAACTGGGCAAAAACTGTTATTTTTTCCTTCTTTACAAGAAGCTTGCCTTTTATTTTGTTTTAGAGTGTAAAAATATCAATAAATGTAAAAAATCATTAGATATTTTTAGTTTTATAAAATCACCCCTACTGTCCAGGAAAGCGCCTCCAACAAACTTAATGTGGTCTGTGTGCCACCAGTTGAAAATCCCAGTTCTAGCAGGTATCGTGGCTCCGGACACATTTAATTTAATGAACAAAGGGGCAGGAATGGCTCTATTGATCATAAAGGTTGCAAACCCCTGTGTCATACCTTGGTATCGTGGGTAATTACCATAGATTTCACCTAAGAAAAGGAAATGAATAAATATCTTTGTGGTAAGTTACATGTAGCCCAGTGCCTAAAAATTTTTAATGGATTCTTCGCTTTATAAATTGGTCCATTTATAGGAGCATTTTTGCCTGAATGATTCATATGAAAATTAAGTGATCTGCTGGGCTGCAAATGAGAAATCCTGAGGAAAAACTGACCCAAATAAGATGAGGAGAATAAAATAAAGGCTGGCTCACTCAAAGCAAGGAAATAAAAATGAAATAAAGAAAATGAGGAATTCTGTTTTAACTCTTCCTTTTTAAGTGTGGAGATATTCTGCTGTGAGTCATCCTCTTTATCCAAACCCACCAACAGCGCCACATCATGTTATTTAACTTTGCCATTAAAGTGCTCGGCAGCACTGAAACAGGCCGAAGCAGACCTGATGACGTAGCTCTGGCCCAGTAAATACAGAGCACTGATATATGTAATTATAGCTGCAGCATGACATGTGCATAACGGAGGAGAGGAGCTGGAAATGAGCTGCAGAGACGAGTGAAGCGAAGGTGGCTGTTTTTATTGCTTTTCCTCAAAGAGTCCTAGAAAAGCTTCTCTCCTGGAATGAAACAAATCAACTTGAGAATAAGAATCTGCCCTTTGACATCGTTAGTATCTCGTCACCATGGCGACTCCCTCTCCTGGTACGGAGCAGCTCCTTCCCTCCCTCCATCTCTTCCCCCTCAACTTTATCTTCCCAGGGTTCAAATGTCAGCGCTCTCCCTGCCTCTCGAGTCTCTCATGTGCTTCTTCTCCTCCTTGACTCGTGTCAGACCTCATCAGAGCTGTGTGCCAGAAAGAGTCTCCGCTCACATTAACCATTCACCTCCATTAACCCTCCACATAGCTACAGGCAGAGGGATGAGTAGAAAAATAAAAGCCCAGCATTCCTTGAAGGAGCATGTATCACCTGCTGCCTTTCACACTGGAGTTAAAGACTGAGAGCGTCTCATGCTGAGAATTCATAGTCGTTTTGGTCAACGCTTGGAAAAAACATTTTACGCAGTCTCGTTCAATAATGCGAGGTGGCATTCATAAACTATGTGTTGTGAATGCCTCTCAGCTACCATGTCAAATTTTAGATCAATGTCTGTTCAATTGAGTGAGTTATAGCCATTTTTTTTTTTTTTTTTGCTGACTAACGTTGATTAGCTGTAGTGGCCATCCTGAATTGCATAGACTCTGAAAGGTAAACAATTGTAGATATACATCCAATAATTGTTTTCTCAAAGTTTCATTAAAAGCTGTCAGTTTTTCTTGAGATATTTTGCTAACAGACAAACAGGGTTGAATCTTACCGTTAATGCTAAAATTTAAGAGGTGATCTTCTGCAATAAGCAGCCCCTGGGGTGTGTGTTATGAATAACTCTCAGCTACAAACACAACAAATTTTAGCTCGGGTTTGCCTGAATTGTAGCCATTCTTTGGTTTACTGGTTTCAGTTGAACGTGGCGGCCATCTTGAGCTGGACGGACTCCAAAAACTTAAGATCCAGTGATTATTTTCTAAACGTTTTTATAAATCTGTCCAGCTGTTTGTGAGACGTTGGGCTGAAAGACAAATTTATGGGGTAATTATTTTTAAAGGTGAAATCTTTTAGTGCGCAGAAAAGTCTCAGCTACTCTCACACCAAATTTTAGACCAACATCCATAAAATTAACAGAGTTATTGATATTTTGTGTGTTTTTTAAAAGTTGATTTGGCAACCACCTTGAATTGCGTTGACTCCAAAATATGATCAGTTGCAGCTGTTCATCTAACCATTACATTATCAGAATTTTTATAAAAATCCACCCGAGATATTTTGCTAACAGACAGGCACATGAACACACACAGAGACGTTGTCTGTCTCTGCTGTTTGGCAGAAGGTTATAACACCACATTGCATGAAGTGCTCGTCCTTAACGTTTCTCTTCACCCGCTCCTTTGTTGTCCCACCACGCAGGTCAGCGAGGACTGGAAGTACGTTGCCATGGTGATCGACCGCCTCTTTCTGTGGATCTTTGTGTTTGTCTGCGTGTTCGGCACGATGGGCATGTTCCTCCAGCCGCTGTTCCAGAATTACACAGCCAAGAGCATCACCCACACGCCGGGCTGACCACGCCGCCCTCACGAGCACACCAACGGACAGCTCCCCGACCAATCAGCACAGCAGGGCATGGGCTGGAGGTGTGTGTGTGTGTTTATGGGTTTTAGTTTTATTGTACTTCTGGAACTGAAGGCAAAACTGGTGACCAGTTTTCACGTTCATTATTAACTTTATAACAACGGTTTTTACAACGATCAAACATTTTTCTTGTATGAGCGACAGGGGGAACAAAAAAAACACCTTTGAACTTTTATCTACAATTTTGTTTTGTCCCAGCTCCAAACAGACTGACCTCCCCTCCTTGTTCCCTTCTCCAGCTTTTCAGGAAGTAAGGATGCTCTGATGTTCTCAACGCCAACCACCCAAGGGCGACAGTTTTTACTCACTGTGTTGACGTGTATCAGAGAGGGACGGGAGGGTCACGTTCAGCTTCGTTTTCTGTAATCCACTACTGTCTGTGAACTGAATCCATATATTTTATCATAGCATAGCAGCTTGTCACAATATAGCATTGAGTAAATCTTATAAGAATATTCCTGTGTTAGTTCATGCCAAGGTTTGTTGCAGGTAGAGATGCTGAGGCGAGTTGCGTGAATGTATAGATATGAAAAGATTGTGATATAAACTGTATACCACAGCCTGTGATGCGTGCACTAACACGATGTGTGTATGAGCTTCAGACCGAAGGGAAAACCGCTAACAAAGAAGTGCCGAGGTGCAATATTACAGAAAAGTCTGAAAGATCAAGTAATAGATTATGCATGGACAGTTTTTTATTTTGCCTAAAGAGTTGTTCACATTAGGTGGAGAGCAGCTGTGGTCGTCCGTACCCGAGTCCACAGCTGCTGATGAGTGTTACTGCTGAGAAGTGGAGGAATCTGAGCCAAGATGGAGGACACTCGCTGGACAGGGATAATGAGATTTTGCCAAAGCGGAGTTGTCAAAGCTGAGTTGAAGCTATAGTTGAGATTTTTTTTTAAGTGGGGCTCTGCATAAAAGTTATCAACAATGAATATGTTACCTGTTGTAGATAACTTGTTGAAGGACCTCAGTTTAGAATTAAATTCTGAGCGAGTTAACACACTGAAGAGCAAAATAAGGCCCGAGGGCCAGAAACGGCTCATGAACCATCTCAAACCGGTCCGCAGTATTCTCATTCAAAAACAAAACAACTTGGAATAAAATTAAAAAATCAGAATTGGAGTAATGATACTTGAGAAAAGTAAAAGGCCCATCCAGACATATTTTTTTCCTGAAATAGGCTTAAACGTTTTTTTTTTTTTTTCCTGTTTTTAAGGTCAAAATTTGTGCTGAAGTTATGGACAAAGGATAATTTGTTGGAATAAATGAATAAATGTTGCAATGTTTTAGCCAAAAATTTATGTCTACGCCTTGTTTATGCTGAAACACAACGTTTCCAAAACAATCTTTTTATTTGTCATTTTAAATAATTTACGTGAAAACGCATCACTGTTTCTAGAAATGCTTTGATCCACACGAAAACACTAAAAATGACCCATAAACACTGTAATAATAGCTATGCTAGGCCTGTATGAGGTGCTGCAACACCACTACAAAAATACACCTGAGACAACAATACAACGGGACATCTTTGTGTCATAGACTAAATTAGATATGAGGCCATGATATTGTTTTCAAAGTGTTGTGTTTTGTCTGTTCACACAAAAATACAAGGGTGAAAACAGTAAAAACAGTATGGGTAAAACAGTGAGGATGGCCTCTAAATTAAGCGTTCACAGGCATAGAATGTGCAATAATCAGCACTTTTGTCCTTTACAGTTGTTTTAAAGTGTTTTAAAATTTGCTAAAGCCTGGTTAGATTGAATTGTACACGTAGGTACATGCTAAGAAGGGATTGTTGTATTTTGATCAAGCATGGCGACTACGCTTATCAATGAAAGAAAACAAAAAATTCCTTAAAAGAGCATTTCAATAATCTACAAGAATAGGCTACAACAAATGTTAGCTTTACGTTGTCACGTGAATGAAAGCAAAGCTTTCTTCACATATTCTTGCAGATGATTTATTGATTTATACAATAGGTATTATATCATGCTCGTATTTAAATAAGTTTTCCTTTCAAATCCAATTGCTATTTAAAGTTTGGAGAGAAATGTTGCTAATCTGTTAGCCAACAGCTACTCTGAAACCAAAGTGTGCCATCTTAGGACAGCACTCGTGTAAAATTTATGACAAAAAATGATCCAAATACTGTTTATAAACCTTTTTAAAAGCCACCAATGTGACATTACACTACCATTTACGTTGAATTTGTCAATCTGCTAGCACAAATAGCAACAGCAGCTAGCTATAGCACAGTAAGGACTCCTGCCAGCACTGCAACAATAGTCTGTCCTGAACTAAACATGTAACATTGACAATGTAAAGGTTTATAAAATATTGTGTGCATTAATAATAATGTTGTTTTAAGAACAATCCCCTTTCTAGTCACATTAGCTCACATTAGCTTTTAGCTCATCAGTCATGTCAGAATTTAACTATATTTCTCCAAAGTGAGGTCATTTAAAAAGATATCTTCAACAGGAAATATGTTGTTTTGAACTTTTCTGCAGAACTTCACCCTAAAACATGCCTATATTAATCAAGAATATGGAAATAAAAACACTAATGGGAGGTTTTAATCATATGTTTTGGGTAATTATATCTATGAACTGCTGATTTTTAATTTTAATCTTTGTCATTAATCTGATCACCAGACTAACGTCTCACGTGTTTGATTTCTTTTTTCATTCTTCTTCCTCTCCTCCCCCTCAAAGCATATAAAAATGTGTTTTCCTGTCCCACATCTCTGTAAAATGGTCACTTCAGAGAGAGCCGATGTTCAGAGGAACATAAAGAATGTGTCACTCTTCAGTTTTACCCCCGTTTTTTGTTTAGAGAGACACATGTCTGAAAATTTTTAAACAGTTATCACTATTGTGTTTGTATTTTCAGTGTGGTTGATTCATTTGATTTTAGAGATTCTTTTAAAGTTCTTCTTTCCTTTTGCAGCCACCCGTGCATTTCAAACAGAACCAAACTGTTCACAGGGCCAGTAGTAAAACAATAATGCAATTACTTTCTGAACTTTAAAGTAAACAAGAGGATGAAGGATATACACATAGAAAAAGACTCAGTGCTACTGCAGCATCTGAAATGGTCTATAACCCTCGGAAAAAAATTGCTTTCCAGCCCTGTCGCTGTCAGACACTGCCATGCAGCTTTTTACAGTCGAGCGGCCAAAAGTCTGCAGCTTCGCTCACTGGGAGCTGTCTCTTCCTCTCGAGGATGGAATTACCCGCTGGGATCCCCGGCAGATCCCCAGACAAGTGTGAAAAGCCTTTTCTGTGACCTATGAATCCAGTTGGCTGCATGGCTCCACATGGAGCAAGCGCTGCTCTCTCTCTTTCGCTCTCGTCGACCACTCGCCTTCCTTTCTTCTCACATCCTTTCTAATTAGTCTCCCCTCTCCATATGTCACCCTCCCCTTCTTGACTCTAAAGTCTGCTCACCTTAAGCAGCCCAATAAAGGTTGTAGATTCATATTAATCGTGTTTGTGTGGAATGTGTTTCACTCCTACGCTCTCTCCGGTTGTCTGTCTGTGCCCTACTGTGGTAACCTAATTTCCCATTAATCGTACACTGTAGGATGAAGAGAATGAAAGAAACATTTCCTGCCTTTCTAATATTGAAGCTCGCCGTTTCCTTTTTGCACACATAGCCAAACATTGTTTCTTTCTTTTAGAGAGCGGGGGCTTTTTTAAAAACAATTATGGCTGTAGGACCCAGCCAAGGCCACGCCAGGTTCTTACTGTCCTGATGTAAAAACAGGGATTTACGTTGTCATTACCTGCACATAAACTTCACGCCACTGTAAGTTATTCTTTTCTAAGAAATTACTAGACTTAAATACAAACCTGATCACTGTTGGACCCAGAAAGGAAGAAGCGGGTAAAGATAATGGATGGATATGCTGGTGAAGATTCTCAGTCATCCAGGACATGGTAAATTCAAAAACATTCAATACAAAAACAACTAGACTTTATTTGTAACAGAAGACGTTTTGCTCCTCATCTGAGAAGCTTTCTCAATTCAAAGAGCAGAGCATGTGGGGTTCAGGTTCTAAAGCTGAGATAAGATACACACATACATATGCAGATTGACATATCACTCCTCACAGTAGGGGTTTGTTAAGGTCTTTTTGTTAATCTAATTCACAGATGAGGCCCCTCTGTTCCCATATGATAATGGATAAAGGACTCCTCACCTATAGAGTGCAGAGTGGTAGAAAAACAATTTCTCATCCTGAAACTGCTGCTACAGTCAAACCAGGAAGACTTGCTGCCATCTGGTGCTCGCCGTGTGTTTCACCTTTTTTTTTTTTTTGCTTTAACAGAGCACAGCCAACACTTTGTTTCAGTCAAGTTTATTCTTTCCAGGGGGAAGTTCTTTAAAGTCAAAGGAGTAACAAAATGCAAGAAAAGAAACAGTGAGAGAGGTATTGAAATATGCAATGACGACCGCTCACTGCCAAATGTTCACATTTTAATAATAAACTTTCAGTTGGACATAGCAAATAAAAAGCAGAAACTCCCAACAGTTACAGCTCAGATCACTACGTGTGTGTGTGTGTGTGTTTGCACATTAGCTCCATGACAGGATGCATGGGTCATCGCTCTCTTCCCTTCCTGGAACTTTATGGATACAGATTTGAGTGGATGCCTCGGCGCCCAGGTGGGGGGCTCACTTCTTCTCCCCCTTTTCGTTGAACTCCAGGAAGAAGTCGTTGCAGGCTACGGTCAGAGCTCCGACCAGTATGACGAACTCGGTGAAGTCGACCTCCCCGTCGTTGTTTGAATCCAGGTCGTTCATAACCTTGTCTACGGCCTCCTTGTCCTGGGCGTTCTGTGTTTGTAAGGAGGGGGAACAAAATGAACTCAAACTCTTATCTTTGTCTTGTAATGAAAGTTTGTGTGTGCCTTCGTGTGCTTTCTTACTCCCAGGTAGTTGCCCAGCTCTGTGGTGAGCAGCTCTTTGAGCTCAGCCCTGCTCAGCGTGTACTTGTCCCCCTCGTTTCCAGAGTACTTGTGGAAGGTCTGGATCATGAGCTGCATGGCGTTCTCGAGGGTGGAAGCGTTCTCTTTTTTGAGATGGGACATTCTGAAGAGAAACAGATGGGGATGTGCGTTAGGAACATGCTCTATGTCTGAACCTGTAAATTAAAACTGGTTCGAATCTTTGACTGTTGCACAATGTTTCTTCTCTGTCCTGGACTCACGCGGTAAACAGGCAGGTGGAAACATAGATCTGTTGATAAATAAAATATCTGCCTAACGTGGAGTTGTCCCTCACTGGCAGCTATCTTGATAAGATTCTGCTGCCAATAAACTGATCCCTGGTCTGTTTTATCTCCCTGGTCTAAAGTTTTGCTACTGGACATGTGAGCCAGCTGACAGGAGTGAAACCTGAACCTGGAGCAACCGTGGACGGCAACCAGATCTGGTTTTTACTTTAGTTTCTAACAGACCAAAAGACAAGCTGGAGTTCTTGTCTTTCTTGAACTTCTGTCACCTTTCAACGAGGACTTTTCCTTTCCAAGAGTCACGGCTTACATCTGTATTGTGTTTTGGACACAGTTTTCCTCATGGTACTGATACGAATATGTAACGTTCCGATTGGCTGCTGTTCAGAAAACAAGACAATCTGAAACTGTAGAGCAGCTGTGGGCAAGCAGAGGGTCAATTTAAGACATTTAAAGCAATCAAAGGGCCGCATAGAAAATTATATTTTTTTTTACTTTAAGTAAGTACTTTTTTCAGACCATTTCTTGTTCTAGCATATTTAGCATGCTTGATTTAAAAAAGCATGTCTCCTCATTACTCTTTAGGAAAACAAGACACTTCCTGTAAACGGACACTTGTGAGAATATATTTGTTAGACTAAATATGCGCCAAAAAAAAACCCCAACTTCATCTTTGCCTGTTGGAGTTCAATCAAGTTCTGGAAACACAATGACCTAAAGACAAAAATCATTTATCAATATATTTGTCCATGATGTTCAATTTAGACTTCTTTGAAGTTTCATTCATAAAATGCAGGTTTTGGTCAACTTATTTAAAAGTTGTTTTCTTTTCAATTAAGGATAACTGGGACCGAATGGAAATTGTCTAAGGGCCACTTTTGGCCCTCGGGTCACATGTTGCCCAGCTCTGTTTTAGAGATTTTCAGCCCCTTTTTTTTAGCAGTTCCTTTAAACACCATGATATGGTCCCATCACACCCTGTATGGAGCATTTATCAGAGGCAACTTCAGAGGATTGTACATCCTCTTGTCTCTCTTACCTGAGTGGAGATGAGGTGCTGGCCTGAGGATGAGGAGCAAAGAGAGGAGCGGCTGATGTGGGAGGATGATGGTACCAGCTCCTTAAATACACTCCTTACTCCTCCCAAAGCATCGTTCTCCCTCCTTCCACCTGTCGCCCCTCTCCTCTCCTCCACCGTCTCTGTTTACGCACCAGACACCTGCCGTCTGCTCAGTCGACATGCACCTCTCCCTTCATTTGCTGCCTGTCGGACAGAAAAGATTGATGGCACCGTAAACACAGCGGTGCATTAAGTAAATGAAATGTTCTCTGCCCACCATTGCTCCAACACACTGCTTTTCATGACACAGTTTTAGAAGACCATCTCATGATGAGAAATGTTGAGCGTGGTCAAAACCTTGGAAATAACAATCTCATGTGATCTCATGTGATCTGATAGTGCTTGGAGTGTTTGTTTCCACTGCCACACCAAAGTTTAGCTCCGTATCTGTAAAACCCACTGAGGTAAAGTCATTTAAAGAAAATGTTTCATTTGCCCTTTATTTATACAGGTAGTCTCATTGAGCCACGAGGACTCGTTTTCAAGAGAGACCTGTTTAGGGAGCAGATGGTGGGGGTTAAGGGGCTTGCTCGAAGGCCCAGAGTGGGGCGAATGAGGGTGGAGGCAGGTGTGGGTGTAAAATGCTTGCTAAGGATGATTAGCTTAAATTGGGTAACCCAGAGGGATAAATCAAGACATTCAAAGCAACCGAAGGGTCACATAGAGAATTGAGTATAAGTTTTTCTTTAAGAAAGATAATGATAATAATAATAACAAAGTCCATGCTCAATAATCCAGGTATAAAATCCAACATTTTTCAGTCAGGTCATCTGGACAGTTTCTTTTGTTTGTGCTGAAATGTTTCGCCTTCTATCAGTCAAGGAAACACACAACAAAACGGATTCTTTCCCCAACAGCTTACTCCAAAGTGGATCAAACCAGTTCTGCTTGTGATTAGATGGTCTCTTTGGTACGCCCCGTCCTTCGTTGCCGGCCCTCTTTCTTGTTGACAGACTTGTCAAACTGGTTGAAAACAACAAAGTCCAACATTCTGTATCTATCTATCTATGTATCTATGTATCTATGTATCTATGTATCTATGTATCTATGTATCTATCTATCTATCTATCTATCTATCTATCTATCTATCTATCTAT